ACTTACATTGTACTGAGATTCGTATTCAGCTTCACATGTCCTTCAGCTGGTAGCCCTTGCAGTCTTTGGAGGCGCGCAGATCCAAAGCCGATTGAGAGTCTGAGTAACAAGCTGCAGAGTTTGAGAGAGCTCATGTGTGCTCATGATCAAGCCAAGGGATTCCCTCGGATCGAGCCCTCGATGCAAGACTCACGTATTTTGTTCGTTTGCCAATTCATGCAAGTATCCATTTCCGATAGAAAGTTATCCATGCGCCAGTCCATCTCCATGATGGTGCTGCTCGCTGGCGTCGATGCTGGCTGCTTGAAGTCCCAAGTGTGCCTTATCCCTTTCATTTTAATGCCCTGTGACAAAGCATATTGTATGGAGTGTCACGGTATAAGACCCTCTTGAAACATAATATTTGTGGGCATCCAGTAATATCGGGAGCCATTGCATTCTGCATCACCATGCTTCGTAAGTTCGCCCAGCGCTGCGTCCTGCCCCGCGCCCAGCCGCGCATGGCGCGCTTCCTCTCGTCGGCCCCGAAGGAAGATGAGGCTTCTTCGGTAAGGTTGATCGAGTCTATGTGCATGCCTATACGCATCCTACGCAGGAATCCACGCTCCTCGACCTCCATTTCACGCAGGAAGCCGACGTACGACGAGATGCACGTCGTCATCAGCATGACTCATGGCAGCGTCTCTAGGGTGTGCAACGTCCTTTCCGCTTTGTCGGTGTTCGCGACGTCGAAGTCGAGGACAAGCGCTTCGAGGACCGCGACGAGTCGGTGAAGCCCAAGAACGCCTCCGTGGTACGCGGTTCGAGCCTCACGACGTTCCTGACGATGGAGCATCGTAGGTGCTCCGCAACGCGTATGGCCAGGCCAACTTTATCTCGTTGTACGTCGACGCGTTGCCCAAGGTTGTCGAGTACATGAAGCAGAACGGCATCCCGCACGAGCCGGTGACGACGGGCGCCGACGGCGTCGACCTCGTGACGATCCCGCCCACGGAGGAGAGCGCGCCCCACTTCAACTTGTGCGACAAGCCCGCCTTCGTAGAGCTTGTGCAGGCGTCGGCCGACCTCATCGCCGAGTTTGACGCGAACGAGAAGGCGCACACCGTAGAGAATTAGATTCAACTGAATATACTAGCCTGCATGCAGCCAGCATCTCGTCTTAGACGCTGGCTCGGTGCCCCACGAGCGGGTCGCGGTAGATCTTGGAGAGCGCCTCCCACTGCTTGTACGAGATCGTGATCACGCACTGCGTGGACGGTGGCAGCTCTTCGTCGTTGATACCGTCGTGGTTCTCTACGGCTCATGTCAGCAACAAGAGGAGCAATGAAGAGAGGCAACGGATCGTGGGCGCCGCCGACGCGTTGGCACGCTGAATCTTGGCATGGCCGTTGCGGATCAAGAAGGACATGTCGAAAAAGTTCTCGACCGTCTAGAGAACAACGACGACAGCAACATGAGCATGCATGCATGGGGTGAGGCGAGGACGATGGATTACCTGCGCAAAGCTCTCGGGGTTGACGCAGAGGTCAAAGACATCGACCTTTTTGGCCGAGCGCTTGAGCGTCTTGACGAGCTTCTGGAGACGCACGGCCTGGACGTCCTCTTTGTCCGGGCGGTTCTCGCCGCTAATTTGCGTTGGCTGCGTCTCGACTTCATCCAAGTCGTCTTGACGGCGACGGCGCACGGTCTTCTTTTCCTTCTGCACGACTTGGGTGTCCTAATCCAGGCGATGAGCAGGATCCAACGGCAGCTGTGGGTCGTCGTACCATGGAACCGTACATGAAGCTAATGCCAATCGTGCTGCTAAAGCACGCGCCGACGGCCGACCCGAGGCGGTCCCAGTCAAGGCCATTGCCGCGCTCGTCGGCGATGCACTTTTCCTTGATGGCGCTCATGAGGTCGGCGACATCAAACTTGGTGAGATCGCTCGAGCCCATGAGCCCAGCCTGCTTGACGACGACGTTGCTGAACTCGTCGAGATTGCATGCGTCGAGGTTGGCCTCGCGCGGGTAAAAGACGCGCTCGTACACGCTGTCGAGCTCGTGTGTCTTGGTCTTGAAGGCGTTGCTCGCAATCTGGACCACGTCGCGGTTGTTCTCGCGCAGGTCCGTGAGGATCTCGCGCTCCTTGCAGCGGATCTCCCGGCGCTCGGCCTCCGTGATCTTGCTCGCGGCCAGGAGCGGCCCGGACCCAAGGCTCGTCCGCTTCCGCTTCGAGCTCATGCTGCCAACTATACCCAACGTATTTTGGCTCCTGTACATTTCATTTGTAATTTTATCTTGTCTTGCTTATTGTATAGAGGAATAAAAATATGATTGGCGTCCGATGATTGGTCTGTTGTTTTGGAGGGAAACTCGGGCCAACTTGCAACTGGAACCTGGACGTTGCTGCGCCCAAAAGAAGCAAGCGAGTGGATCGCCGTAGAGACATAGGTAGGTACATACAAAACCATCAAAACTACCTAAGGTTAATCTTAGAAGGTAGCTTTGGTTTACCATTACAGTAGTTGATAGATCAACCAGAATATTTCAAGACCCATCCGGTCTCCTGCTTCAGTCTGATGAACTTGGCCCCAACTCTTAGACGGAGGTGAGCCCTGTCATTGCATTCCAAGGTTGTCGAGTGCGTGCGGGTATCGATCCGAGATCCTGCCGCCACACCCACAGGAGAGGTGGTCCGCTGCTTGAAGCTTGTGCATGGACTAAAGTTTGCTCGGACTTTTTGTCCCAGCAGCGCGTTGATTGGTGCGAAAAAGGTGCTAAAATGGATGCATTTGCACCAATGAAAACGGGCCATTTTCAGACCCAAGTTTCTTCCCACCCATTCGAAGGACCGATGTCGCCGCGGGAGCCGTTGACGTCGGAGCGGTCCTTGCTGCGCAGCCTCGACGCCTACGAGTCGACGTATGGCGATCTCGATGGCCATGCGAAGCCTGAGGAAGAAGTCCGCAGCCTCCGCGCGGTGCTGGAAGCGGCCGTCGGCGAGGCCATCACGTCCCCGGCCACCATCCACCGCGTCATTCGCGTCCTCCTCAAGCGGCGCTTTGGCGCTTCATCGCGCGAGCTCCAGATTCACATGCTCTTTTTGGCCATGCACATCATGACCAAGCCGATCACTGAGGACGCGGAAGCGTTGGCCGTCCTGTACGAGTTCATGATGGACAAGCTCCTGCCCATGGGCCTCGAAACAACGACGAGCTCGCCGTACGGCAGCCTCTTCTTTGCCTTTGCGCTCCTCTTGCGCCGCGTCGAGCAAAGCGATGCGATCTACCGGTCCATGGTCTCGATCTTGAAGGCGCGCCGCCACACGGAAGCGGTCGAGTTTGAGATGGACGACTCAATGTGCGACGTGGCGCTCGAGAAAGGCCGTCTCCTTGGTGGCCTCGCGTACTTTGCTGCATGCCTCTCGCCCCTTGCGCCGACGCCGCTTGTCTTTGACCTCGCCCACGCCGTGTGGGCCCTCGAGGACGCTGTTCCGGACAGCGACGCGTCGCTGCTCCAAGCGGCCGCATACCCGTTCATTGCTGGCTTCACCAAGGAATTCGACCTCCTCGACTTGACCAAGTCGGAAGCCGAGTGGCTCACGATCGTCGAGCTCTACACGCCGCTCTTGCACCGCAACCCAAACCTGTCCGTCGCCCTCTTCAACGAGGTACACTCGTTGTCGTCGTCGTCGTGTTTGCTCATGTAGTATGTGTAGCTCAACGACACGGCGTCGGCGCTAGCATCGCTCTTTCCCGTGCGTCTCTTGCCGCGCTTGAAGCTGCTCGCCGCCGCGTGCGCGCCATCGACGGTCGACGCGATCCTCGCCGACCTCTCGTCGACGTATTGTACACGACTGTCCTTGTCGATGACGTGCCGCATGCGGTGGATGCGTCGGACGACGCATGGGTCGTCGCCACCGACGCGTACGTCTACGCCAACGACAACGTGGTCGTGCCGGCGGGGACGCGCGGGCAAAAGCTCACGCTGCCCAACGCGCCGGTGCTCGTGTGCTGGCACCTTGCGACCCTCGTGTGGCCCATCTTGCTCCATCGTCTCTCGGCGTCGCGCGGGTCGACCGCAACCGCGATCCTGCACTTGATGACGGCGCTGTTGACGCACCGGGATCTGGACGCGACGTCGCCCCTCGCTGCCGCGCTGCCACCGGCGCTCGCCAGAGTCGCCGCGCTGCTCCATGACCCGACGAGCCCGTTGAAGTTGCAGCAAGCGTGCCTCGCGTTTTGTGCCGCGGTGGCGACGCGTCATCAGACGACAAGCGTTGTGCGCGTCATCGCTGTCGACGACGCCGTGTCAGCGCTGCACGCTGTCGTGACGGGACTCGAAGCGCCGAAGGGACAGTACCCGAGCGTTCTCAACATGCTCCACCTCGCGGCCCACGTGTTTGCGTCGTCGTCGTCGTCGTCGATCGAGATGACGCATTGGTCGGCGTCGCTCACCCATGTCCTCTTGACCATTGCCACGTCGTACATGACGTGGCAGTTTGAGCGTGTCGAGGACCAAGACGTGCTCGGGCTCGCGAGCTTCCGGCTCGTGCACTCGCGCCTCGCGACGCACTACGACGTGTGGGCGACGCTCTGGGCCGAACCAGCCGCGACGTTTCCGAAGTTTGTACTCTCGACGCTCGCTCGGTGGCTGCCCATCGCAGCGCCTGCACCGAAAGCCCCCGTTGCGCGCTTCGCGTTTGACGACTCGACGCCCGACGCGACGCCGTTCTTGCCATTGACCATGGACACCATGTCGCCGACGCACGCACGCTATGCCTCGACGCTCTTGGCCTGCGTTTCTCAAGTGGTCGCCCCGCTCGTCGCGTCGGCCCTCGCCGATGCGTCGTCGTTTTCGATGGCCGCTTCGCCGCTGGCGACCACGGTTCATGTTCGTGGCGTCGCGCTCAACTGGCCGCTGGTGTGTTCGGCGCTGCTCGCGTCACCGGATGCGGCGATCGTCGATGCGAGTTTGGAGCTGCTCACGGCACTGGTTGTGCTGCCGACGACGACGACGACAACGTTTGTGGCCCACTTTCCGACGCCGCAAGACACCAAGGCGCTTGTCGCGGCGCTGTGGGAGCTTGTCACGGACGCGAGTGCACCGAATCGGCAGGCGTCGGCCTTGCGCCTCTTGGCGCTGAGCGTCGACCGCCAGCCGTCCCTCGTGTCCTTGCTCTTCTTCTCGGCCGACGCGGCGCCGTCCGCGCTCGGTCTTTTGCGCGTCCTGTCGAAGGCCATTGCGACGCAAGACTGGGATGTGGTCGCGTACGGCTTGGACTTTGTGCGCGCGAGCTGGCCGACGCTGTTTGCAACCCAGTCGGCACTCTGGTCGGACGTTGGGGCGGCGCTTCTTTCCAGCAGCTCGGGTGCGCCCGACGCGACGGCGCACTGGTGGGCCATTGGTATCTTTTGGCAGCTTGTGGCGCTCGAGGTGACGCACCCGACGTCATCGTCGTCGGCACTCGACCCGCTGCTTGCGACCAAGGACGCTTGGTTTACCATCGTGTCGACGCACGTGGCCGACGCCGACCATGACGGGATGCCGTCCTTGCCTCTCGCCGTCGCCAAGTGCGACGCCACCTCGAGCAGCCTCTTTGCCATGGTGCAGTTTGCCACCGCGATGGAGGTTGTCGTCTTCAAGCGCGGCAGCGAAGGCCTCCCGTCAGGGCTTGCGCTCGCGTGGGTGTGCACGCTCGCGTCATCGATGACGACGATGCACGAGGCGGTCGACGACGCAGACTGGTCGCTGTACCTCACAACGTCGACGCGCCTCTCGCTGACGCTGCTGCATCACCACACCAAGATGCCGACATCGGCCTTGGACGTGGCCACGAGCGTCGAGCTGGTGCGTTGCCTCCATATAGGATGCGATATCTCATGTCGATTTCTGTAGCTCAAATGCTGTCTCGCGATGCTGCAAACCGCGGGGCCGACCGACGACGATGCGCGCAAGTACGTCATGACGAGCATCTACCTCGTCCTGCGCCACATGTCGTCCTTGCCCGACCGCGTGACGACGCTGCCGTCCGTGGTCGTCACACCGCTTTTATCGATGCTGTCGACGGCCACGGACGTGAGCCTGCACTTGCTCGTGCTCCGAGAACTCGTCGTGCACTGGATGTCCCCGCTCTTTTGCGCGTCGCTGCGCCCGTGTCTCTCGAGCCTCGTGGCGTCGCTTGTGATCACGACCAAGGTCGACGTGCTCGCCGATACGATCACGACGCTCTCGCATTTGCTCATGGCGAGTCCGTTGGAGACAAAAACGTTTTGTGTCGACGCGCTCGTCGCCGACTGCCACATGCTCGGCCACATCAAGACGCTGGCCCAGCCGCTGACGTCGGCGATGCTGCGTCGGCGCCAACGCGGCTACGACGACGCGTCGCGTCGCTGCTTGTTGCACACGACGTGGTGCAACCTCCTCGAGTTGCTATCGCACCTTTTGGCGCTAACCACCGGGAACGCACTCACGAGCACGCTCTCCGTGCTGGCGTATCTCGAGCCCGTGCTCTTGTCGGCCTTTGACGAAAAGGCGCCGTTGACGCTGGCCCGGCTGCACGAACAGGCGTGCGTCGGGCGGCTGCTCTTGGCCGCCGCCGCGCACCTCCCGACGTGGCAAGGCCTCATGTCCATCGGCAGCCTCCTCGAGCTTGGCCGTCGCCACCTTGTCGTCGTGAGCGGCTGGAAACAAGACCCGGTTTCGTTGACGTCGCTGGCCGTCACGGCGGACGAGACCAAGGACGCACAGTTTCAAGCCACGCTGACGCGTCAGCTCTGGGAGGTAACGTGCGGCTCTGTCGTCGACACACATGGCAAAAGGAATGCTAGGTGGTGTACCTCTGGTGCGTGCTGCTGCTCAAGCTCACGCCGAGCGCGACGCCAGTGATGGAGATCCACGGGCGGCCTGTGGTCGACACGGAAGCCGCCCGCCCAATCGTGGACTTTCTCCCGATCTCGCTGTCGCATGCGACGGCGCCGTGCGCGCTGGGACACGTCGCTCGCCTCGTGGTGCGTCGACGGGTTGCCATGTCCTGTCGTCTCTTATGGTATGTTTTTGGGATAGAAATGCGCGTTGAAGGAAGCGTCGGCCTTGTCTTCGGTACAGAGTTTGGATGATGCAATCATCATGGCTCATGGAGGTGCGGTAGACGACCAAGCGCATGCAGGATGGTCTCCGCGATGTCGTTGAAGCCGCCACGTCCTTGCTCGTGGCCAACTTTATCTTGCACGAACAGCGCTACCACCACCCGGCCGCGTACCGCGCCGAGCTCAAGGTGTCGTTGACCGACGTCATCGCCAGTGTCCAGGCGGACTGGCGGGATGAAGAGGCGCCGCTTGTCGCCTTCATGGAGGTATACAAACTCGCCCGCGTCTGTTGACGTTACTGCTTGGATGCTCACCGACGACGTGTGTAGAGCGTCGAAGCGAACGTCCTCACCCAGCCGTAATACCCCTCATTCGTCTTCTTCTTCTTTTATGGCTGCCTCTGTTTGTGCTTGCAGTTTGATGGCAGTCCTCGGTCCTACCTCTCGGCCCTGTGCATCGGTCCATGGCCGAAAGGCGCGTCGAGGACATGTACTGTACCACACAGACTGTACCATTGGCCTCGTCTTGCGTGATTGCTGTCGTGGCCGGCGCACGTGCCACGTGTATGCGATAGGACCGATGTTATGGACGACAACAGGTGCACACCGAGGCTGTATCGGCACCTGTCGGCGGCGTCGCAGGTCTCCTCCGCATGGTGCGGAGATCACTGGCGTGCTGCGGCCGCCGCCAAACCCACGCTGGCGGCCAGGGCGCATATTTTTCAGGAGGCTCCGCCGTTCGCTACCAGCGCTCTCGATAGCGCCATATTGGAACGGTAGCAGCGCAATGCGCCGTTGATACCTCGCTGTCTTTAGGCGGGCGTCGCGCAGCCTACCAGCTCAGAGGGCGCGAAATGGCGGTCGATTTAAACGCCTTTTTGTCGGGTTTTCGGGTCGGCCACCGGGGCGCCACGCAGGCCATGGTATACAAATGCAAGTCGAATAAAAATGCAATTTAAGCGCTGACATTGAAAAACCCCGGGCCGCCGCCACCAAGTTGAAGCGTTGAGGGCCAATGAGGTCGCGTGACAAAGATCCGGATCGCTTCAACAAGTCTGCTACGTGTGGGTACGGCATGGATCGCGATTGTCCGACCTCGCAAACTACACTTGTCTTCCCCGCAGCAGTCATTTTGCAATCGACCTCCTCGGGCACAGCAACCCACCACCAAGATGGAGTCGCCCGCCAACGATCAAAAGACGACCAAGCTCCTCGTGACCGGCGAGTCGCCCAACGAGATCCCGGACGACGTCTTGACCAACATCCAGGAGAACCGCCGGTTCATTTGGTGGTCGCTTCTCTTCCTCAACGGGTCGTGTCTCTGGGCGTACTACTCGTGCTTGTCGGCGCAGACGTACTACAACGACCGCTTCAAGGACACCAAGTACAAGTTTGAGTACTTGACGACGCTCGTCACGACGTGGCCCATGTTCATCGGCCACTTCACCCAAGTGAGTCTCGGCCTCGACAAGAAGCTCGGCTTCAAGAACCGCATCCACATTGGCTACTCGATCCTCGTGCTCTGCGCGCTCGCCATCATCTTTCAAGACGCGTTCGGCGCGTCGCCTGACACGGGCGCGATCGTTGTGCTCGTGGCGTTTGCCGTCGTCGGCTTTATGAACTCGCTCACCGAGTCGGGCTTCTACGCGCTCTCGGCGCTCTTCCCGGATGCGATCTTTACCGACGCCGTCCAAATGGGCAACGGCACGTCCGGTATCATCAACGTGACGCTCAACACGCTCATCCAGCTCATCGTTGGCGGCACCAACCCCGCGCCCGAAGACACGCGCGACATTTCCAAGATCTCGTTCTACATCTTTATCAGCGTCTGGATCATTGTCTGCTTCCTCGCGGTGTACGTCTTCCACAAGTTGATGCGGATTCCGGCCGTGCACCACCTCATGGAGCGCAACGACGCCGAGACGGCCCGCCGCGCGGCCAACCAGGAAACGTACCCCGAAATGTGGGCGCGCCTCGGCCGCATCACGTCGGCCGTGTCCGTGCCGCTCCTCTGCATCATCATTGTCTTCCTCTGCTCGCTCACGGCCTTCCCCGGCATTGGCATCTCGTCCGGCATCCAGCTCGCCAAGGGCGCTTCGTGGACCACGTGGTACATCAACGGCGTGCTCCTGAGCTACAACTACGGCGACTTCTTTGGCCGACTGGTCGCGCACAAGCTCTACAAGTTCTTCACGCTCCAGTCGTGCTTCCTCTACTCGCTCGTGCGCTGGGGCTTCTTCATTCTCCTCCTCATCGGCCTCCCGGGTCTTGACGCCGAAGGCAACCCGACCAAGAACCCGCTCTTTGCGATGGCGTCGGCCCACGACTTTAACGTCTTTTGGCAGCTCTTCATCACGCTCCTCGTCGGTGTCACCAACGGCATTTTGAGCACGATCTCGCTCGGCCTTGGTTCGCGCCTCGTGCCGCAGGACGACCGCGAGTCGGCCGGTGCGATTCTCTGCCTCGGTCTCTTCTTTGGTATCTCGTCCGGCGCGACCGTCGGCTGGCAGTTTGGCGTCCAGCACTGGCTTGGCGCATAAACACCGGACAACTAGAACTAGACACCACCATCCTTGTGACGCTTCTCTAAAGAAACGGTTTATATTGTGTACAGATTCCCACATTTCTAGAGCCTTTACACTCTGACTCTCCATATTCTGGAGCGACCATCGCAGTGGGGTTTAGAAGAATCCGGCAGCGCTTCGCGTTCTTGACTCCAGATTCGCGACACGCACAAAGTGACCCGTTGGGATTTTCCATCCTGCTGTCACTCTGGCTTGCTACATCGTCGTTATAGGATCACGTCTTGATGCTCCCGCCACCCTAACCCCACGTTGTTCTCGGCTCTCGTTCGCTGCTACTTGAACGATTCGAGTGCTGCGTGCTTCATACGCAAAGTGTACACAAGTGAAAAGGTGATATTTTGTGGTGATGAAACGCTCAAGCAATCTCCTAAGCGCCGAGCCAGTGGTTCTTGCCAAACTGCCAGCCGATCGTCGCGCCGGCCGAGATACCGAGGAAGAGCCCGAGGCACATGATCGCACCAGCCGACTCGCGGTCGTCCTGCGGCACAAGGCGCGGGCCGAGACCAAATGTGATCGTACTCAGGACACCGGTGGAAAGGCCGAGCAGAAAGTTGATACAAAGCATCCAAAAAATGTTGAAATCGTGGGCGGACGCCATCGCAAAGAGCGGGTTTTGACCGTTGCCGGGGAGCCCGAGCAACAGCAGCACAAAGAGACCCCAGCGAAGAAGTGTCCAGAGAAGGCACGACTGCATCGTAAAGTACTTGTACAAATTCGGCGAGAGGAGCCGGCCAAAAAAGTCGCCGTAGTTGTAGCTCAAGAGCACGCCGTTGATGTACCAGCTGCCCCACGTGGCGCCCGATGTGGCCGCGAGCTGGAAACCGGCGGTGATGCCAATGCCGGGAAAGGCCGTGAGTGAGCACAGGAAGATGAGAAACTGGCACGTGAGCGGGACGATGACGACACCCGTGATACGCAGGAGGCGCGCCCACATCGCTGGCAGCGATTCCTTGTCGGCCGCGCGCCGGGCCGTCTCGTTGTCGTTGCGCTCAACGAGGTACTGGACCGAGGGGATCTGGAGCAGCTTGTGAAAGAGGTACACGGCGACGAAGCAAACGAGGATGAAGACGCTAAAGAAGATGTAGAACGAGATCTTCTGGATGTTTGCCGCATCTTTCGTCGCGGGGTGGATGCCCCCCACGAGGAGTTGAATGAGCGTGTTGAGCGTCACATTGATGAGACCGGAGGTGCCGTTGCCCAATTGGATCGCGTTGGTAAACGACGCTTCGGGGAATAGGGCCGAGAGCGCATAAAATCCAGCTTCCGTGAGCGAGTTGGTGAGCCCAATGAGCCCAAACATGAGGAGCACGATGGTCGCGCCCGTCTGCGGCGCCACGTCCAAGACGTTTTGCAGGATGATGACGAGCGCGGCGATCGCGTAGAGCGCATATCCGATGCGAACCCGATTCCACATACCGAGCTTCTTGTCGAGGCCAAACGCCACTTGAACCAAGTGGCCCACAAACATGGGCCACGTCGTGACGGGCGTCGTCAAGTAGGCAAAGTTGAACGACGTCGTCGCGAAGCGAGTCGAGTAATACGACTGCGCCGACAAGCACGAGTAGTACGCCCAGAGACACGAGCCGTTGAGGAAGAGAAGCGACCACCAAATGAAGCGGCGGTTCTCCTGGATGTTCTCGGCCACAGGCACGGGAATATCGTCGTGGTCGTCGGCGGCGCTGTTGACGCTGAGGAGCTTCGTGCTCTTGTGCTGCGGCACGGGTGTCTCCATCGTGGTGCCTTGGGTCGGCGGGTGGAGTCGTCGAATGAAGATAAGAAGGGCCGATGCCTTCTCGATGTTGAAGTTGCCTTTTGTTCCAAGATCAGTGGTGAGCAACGAAATCAAGTCTCTTTTACGCAATGTAATGGTCTATACTTCAGAAATATATGGGAAAATGCATGCATTTCAAACGTAGACCTTTTCGCCCGCCTAAAGTTCTGGCGGGAAAATCTTCGTTGTTGCGATCTTCGAGCGACGAGCCCAGCTGCTTGCTCCATGCAAGCGATGGGTATCCATGAATATCCTGTTTCAAATGAGGACCTTAGCCTACAGTACACCGTCGACGAGGAGGAGGACTGACCGAACGCACCAACGCTTCGGGTCAACCGCTTGGACCGTTTATGGCCGAGCCGCTCTTTTACGGAGTCTGGCACGGCGACCACCTGAGGCGTAACTCATTGTCCTTGCGCCGACGTGATGACTCCATTTTGTCCGACGTTGGCATAGCACTAAAGACGTCGTGTGAGAGCAGTAACAGCAACATCAGAGACAAGGTGACATCCAGACACACCCAAGTTCGATCGATTGTGTACTAACGGTCTCGTGTTGTACAATTGTAAGGTGGTTTTGGCCGCAGATACACGATGCATGCACCGCACCCACAAGGACGAATACCGAGATGGCGATTGGCTTCCTCTTCGGTCTTGCAATGCAAAACGTGTCAGCATCACGTCGGTGAAGCGATCCTTCGCCAATGTAGCGTTTGTTTCCTACGGGCTAAACATTGTCTAGAAAGATTGAAGTCATCGCAACCAAAAGGTTATCATTAGTACAATGGTTTAACCTCGAGGAGGATGTTGCTGAATCTACCACACATAACAATGTACACACTATTGGTTGCTTAGGCGCCGAGCCAGTGGTTGGCGCCAAACTGCCAGCCGATCGTAGCACCCGACGAGATACCGAGGAAGAGACCAAGGCACATGAGGGCGCCGGCCGACTCGCGGTCTTCCTGGGGCACGAGGCGCGGGCCAAGACCGAACGTGATCGTCGAGAGAACACCCGTCGTGATACCGAGCATGAAGTTGATGAAGAGGAGCCAGAACTGGTTGAAGGCGTAGGCCGTGCCCATGGCGTAGAGCGGGTTCTTGTCGCCGCCGGGGAGACCGATGAGGATGAAGATGAAGAGCACCCAGCGGATGATCGTCCAGAGGAAGCACGACTGGAGCGTGAAGAAGCGGTAGAGGTACGGCGAGATGATACGACCGGTGAAATCACCATAGTTGTAGCAGAGGAGCACGCCGTTGAGGTACCAGAGGCCCCAGTCACCCTTGACGGCACCGGCCATCTGGAAGCCGGCCGTGATCGAGATACCCGGGAAGGCCGTGAGCGAGCAGAGGAAGATGATGAACTGGCACATGAGCGGGAGGATGACCACACCACCGATGCGGAAGAGGCGCGACCACATCTCCGGGTACGTCTCCTGGTTGGCGGCGCGGCGGATCGTCTCGGCTTCGTTGCGTTCCATGAGGTACTTGACGGCCGGCACCTGCATGAGGCGCCAGAAGACGTACACCGCGAGGAAGCAGACCGCAATGAAGACGCTGAAGAAAATGTAGAAGGCGATCTTCTGGATGTTGGCCGTCTCGTCTTCACTCGGGTGGATGCCACCGACAATGAGCTGGAGGAGCACGTTGATCGTGACGTTCAAGACACCGGAGCAACCGTTGCCCATCTGGATCGCGTTCGTGAACGAGGCTTCCGGGAAGAGCGCCGACATGGCGTAGAAGCCAGCTTCGGTCAAGGCGTTGGTGACACCAATGACAGCAAAGGCAATGAGCACGATGATGGCGCCGGTCTGGGGCTCGGCATCAAAGACGTTCTGGAGGATGATGGCAAGCGCGCAGAGGCCGTAGATGGCAAAGCCGACACGGACGCGGTTCCACATGCCCATCTTCTTGTCGAGGCCGAGGAAGACCTGGATGAACTGACCGACAAACATGGGCCACGTCGTGACGGGCGTCGTCAAGTACGCAAAGTCGAACGACGTCGTCGCGAAGCGAGTCGTGTAGTACGATTGCGCCGTCAAGCACGAGTAGTACGCCCAGAGGCACGAGCCGTTGAGGAAGAGGAGCGACCACCAAATGAAGCGGCGGTTCTCCTGGATGTTCTCCATCACGTGGGCCGGGATGTCCTCCTCGCCCTCGTTGACGATGAGCTTCGCGTTCTTCTGGTCTTCGATCGGTGTCTCCATGATGGAAGGAATTGAAAAGTGAGCAATTTGGCGCTCGTCAAACCCGGCCGCGTTGCTGGCAGCACGTGGTGGCTTACGAAACCTCTGAAACTTTATACTTGAAGTTGTAATGGCCTTTCTAAGCCACGCGGTGGTTGGTCGTGACGGAGCCTGGGCCGCTGCGTGGGCATCGAGCTTGGCGATGCAAATGCATATTTTGCTGGCGTCGCTACCCGGCGTGGTTGGAACTTGCACGTGGCGCAGGGACGCGCCGCGAAATGAGGTCGAACGGGCACAGAAACAAGCGCCTGCGATGCGGACGCCATGAGCACCGCGCTATAGAAACACCTCCGCGTGGTACCCCGCGTCTGCGACGGAGGACGAGGACGCCGTGGCCGCGTGGATCGCAGGGGCTCCGCGGGGCGTCCACAAAATATGCATTTTCGTGCATTAGATCGGAAACGCGCCAAGAGCGCCAAAGTCTGCTTGAACTAGCGCGTCCGCGTGGGTGCTGTACCTGGCTAGCTTCAAGCGGCCTGCGTCGCTAGTCGTATCGATCTTTTCGCCGCGATCGCAAGCCCAGTCGCCGCGGAAGCGACCGATCTCAGCCCCTGCGGACCCGTCGCATTACTGCTTCAGCTTGCACCGCCATCGAAAATCCAGCTACGCGCAACGCCAGGACACTACGAGGGGGACTTGCTACCGAGAGTGGGCCTCGCGTGGGCTCAAAAACGCGCAGCGTGGGCCGTCCCTGCCACCAAGTGGCGTCGCCCCGCCGATTCTTTGAAGATGAACACTCTCTGCCTCTCTACTTGTTTGTATGCCAGCTGCGGACGGAGGCCATGGGCGCCGCCACCAACTTGGCAGAGAACGCGACTCTTGAAGCTCAAGAAAGCGTGTCGGCGTCCCACGCTGCGTAATTATTAGATGTGAAGGGCCTGGGACAAAAAGCCTCATAGTTCAAGCATGTGGCCTCGGGCTCCCGAACCAGGCGTCGCACCAAGATGCGCACGCTGGCCTCTTGCAGGCTTGAACGTGCCCAGGTCTACCCTCGAGATCACATAGCAGCCACTTTTACGGTGTATCCTCCCACCATCCTTTCGACCCATGTCCAATCAAAATGCGTGCAAGTGGTAAAGTCCACGATGACGCAGCGTCGTCGGCGGCGGCTCGTGGCGCCACCAAACAAAAGAACCTCGCAACGTCGACCCCCTTGGCCTCTGCTGCGCGCGCCTCTGGGTATGGCTACTCGCCAAAGCGGGTAATTGCTTGAGGTGCACGTCCCACGCCGTCGTCGTCCTCGAAAGAAGAAAAACGCCAAGTCAATCTCGTGTCGATGCAACACTTTGAAGCGTCTTGTAATCGGCGGCGGGCGTCAGTGGCGGAGACGGCGATGCCGCATCCGGCGCCGCTTTTGTTGCGTAGTCGCCGCCACGTGGACGTGCCATCTGCGATGGTCGCTGGTCACGTCTACGGCTGCCGAGCGCCACACGTGCTGCAACGACCCAGGTGCAGGCGGGTGCGCCGCAAAGCGACGGCGCGCGCGCAGCCGTCAGTTTCGTCGACGCCAACTTCCATCGCGAGGCCGTCCCTTCCGCGGCCGCACCCACTTTGCCTCGCTCGTCGTCGTCGCGTGCAAGAAGCTACTCGGTTCCGTAGCGGCGGGGCGGTACGATTGGATCACCTATTTCGCAAGGCCACGCGATTGAAATCGTTCGCTCCGCCTCCGCGATCGCTCTCTCGTGCTCGTCGCCGTACGAGCTCCTTTGTGTCTTGGACAGAGTTGTGTCGCTGGGCTTGCTACCGAAAGGCATGCGCTCTGCGTTCGCTTCTAGCCACAGCCAAGAGACAGTGACAACGATGGGTGCATACTGGTACGACGACGACGTCGCGCTAACGTTATTGTCCGACAGCGCGCAGCATGACATGTGCTTGCGTGGGTCGATTCCAAGGCTCGCAAGGTCTTCGCGGCGACTAAGGAGGGTACCAAGAGACTGTACTAGTGCTGGACAGCAAGCATGAAGCGTGTGCGGTTGATGTCCGTGATGGGGAGCGCAGCGGGTGCAATGGATCTGCAAAGTCGCGAAATGGCAACGTCGAGGTTCGTTGGATGCTTGCTGCGACGCGCAACATCCTCGATGTCAACCCGTCAACGCCAACCACATCGATCGGCTTACGGCCAAGTACGACTTGATGCACGTTGCGATAGTGTGTATAAAGCGTACTCGTACGTACCTAGCGATAAAGCAAGCAGGGAGAAAGACACTGCGTCGTCGCGATTCAAGTTGCGACAGACTCCTCGCCAAGGCCGTTGGCGGTGTTGTGGGTCTCATCTCTCTCACGACCGAAGTGCACATGAGGCGACAACCCTGTTGGTGTCCATCGTGCCAGTTTTGGGCGAGACGGGTAAATTTTGACATGGCACCTTCGGGAATGGCGTGAGCTAATAGCTCTGCGCCTGGATCTTGCGTTCTTGTGTGCCTCTAAATCTGGCTTTCAAGATCGCTCGGCCTTCTGTCAACGCATCTTCCGCTTCTTGAAAGCGGCCCTTTCCGAAGAGCAATGACGAGGACCTTCTTTTCAACCGCGTTGGGACCTTGATTGCTCTTCTCTTGTGACCACTGCTCACCGGGGTGGCCTTTTGTTCGCGCTGGGTCCTCTCCGATTATCTTGGTTTCTTCGAGGATGCGTTGGGTTCAAGCATCTGCATCTTACTTTCTCGTTCAAAATATGCTACTCGCAGTATGTAGTCGGCTGCGAGTCGACCTCAATCCTTGCACTCGCTGCTGTAAAACGTAGGCAGTGCGCAAATACGTCATGGGATACCATCGTTGCTCGATCGAGTGATATACCGTGGCTGTTTGGTTGTTGACGACCGCGATAGCAACCGAGCTAGTTCCTTGTTCAGGGCATTCAGAGTGCCAGTCACAATTGACACCGTGCAAATATCAACCCCCCGTAATACTAGGGCGCCAAGACGGAGGGAGGGATCGAATGAAATGCTTGCTCATCATGTTGCTGTGCCAGTCACTGCTCTCAAACAGAATACATAAAACAAAGTTGAAACCACTGTTTTGGGCTTCACAACAGTGTTCAAACCTGAACTCTGTGCGAAACACTGCATACCGACGCAACGCTCGCTCCCAAAGGCTACGAGCATCAATGCACTGCTTGACGATGATATACACGTTTGGTACAGTGCTGGTACGCAAGCTTGTACGAGTGCTAGTACACCGGATCGGTTCTCATACGACAGCGATTCAACGGCGACGAGGGAATTTGTTTTCGATGTGAGAAGTCGCGCGTGGTAACAGGAGAGGAGACAGGACGACACGGAAATACGCTAGCGGGCGAGTTGCAATCTCTTGATGGCTTCAGCACAATCCACTGTATCGTGTAAACAAGCTCTCGGAGTGTTCAGTGAGGACATCGGCCAAGCTCCGCGGATGACTCGGTTCGCACACCGCCATTGCTCGCTCCATGTCCTTGTACTGTGTGCAGCTTGTAGTGTGTGCTGCTGGGGGTACAGTCCATCTCGACATTGCCCTTCGAGCTTGGCACACTGCTAGGAATCTGACCGCTACTTTTAATACGTACTAAAAGTGCTCGACGTTAGTTGAACGGCGGCCGTTCAACCAACGTCGAGCTCCATGCACTCTGCAAGGGGGATCTGTCAGCTACGTACTGGTATTTAATAAATGTGTTACTGTACTCGAGCCACTAGTACGACCAGTTATCCTCATTGACCGAGCTTTCACGTGTGCATACCAGGTACAGCATACCGGTATTGACGTTATGGAGAGCGGCAAGATCTTCTTTTTTTAGTGCATTGAACAAGATATGCACATGATATGTCACCTTCTGGGTGTGTCGCGTGCGGGACGGTCCACGGCAACAAGAGCTGGCAACAAGGAAACTGAGCCGAACCGACCGCACGCCTGTCGAGACTGCGACAAGAGACGCAAATCCTGCGTCCAGAAGCAACACGAGGCCTCTACCGCAGCGCGCTTCGTCCCAGCGACATAATCGCGGGGTCCTATGACCGGGTCCTTCTGGGTTCTACCAATCTGTCTGTGCGAGCTGTCTGTGCGGGATTACTCTTACGTAGTTTCCACCCACCCCTCGCTCCTTGTAACAGAAGAGTTTAGGTTTTGGTTCTGTGATGACTTGTTATCGACCTGGTTTCAGTATGCCAAGTGGCTACTCGGCGGTTACGTTGCACTGTTGGACGGTTTCGATTACGGTACCAAAGCGAAGGTGGCAACGAACAGCTCGTTCCATGCGAGGGCCTTCGTGCATGCAGTAGCTCATCTCACCGCACTCTCTCTGCGCAGTTCCTCTGTGCATCTGCGCATGCATCGAAAGTGTCGTCGGATGACTGTTCCGTGGCGTCCGTCGGGCACATCCTCACAACGTTTGTAAGGTTGCGTATGCGGATATCGATACAGCATATGGCGCGTCTCGTGTCGAGCTGCGGTCGAAGTCATTGGGTCGACGTCGCACTACCGGTACATGTAGATGCCAGTGCCGTGAAGCACCGACTCTGCCATGCAGCCACCTGGTCGGAACACGAACCATATCAGATCGTATACATGTAGCACATCACAGCGCCTCCTCCAGCGCAATGTAAACAAGCGACGCTTCCCGCGCCCCATCAACGGCACGATTCGCTTACAGTTGTTCTGTGTGGGACACGCAAGTGGGTTGATTGCTGCGACGCCGAGGTACCGGTAGCATTCGTGGTTTCGCCACCGAACTAGCAGAACGACTAGCATCATGGGCACCCCGATCATGGAGCAGAGGAGCGCCAAGCTCATCATCTACGACGACGTGGACGAAGACATCCCGTACCACATCCTCGACAACATCCAGGAGAACCGCCGGTTTATCTGGTGGGCGCTCCTCTTCCTCAACGGCTCGTGCCTCTGGGCGTACTACTCGTGCTTGTCGGCGCAGACGTACTACTCGGCACGCTTTATCAACTCGACGTTCCAGTTTGAGTACTTGACGACGCCCGTCACGACGTGGCCCATGTTCGCCGGCACCTTTGTCCAAGTCATCTTTGGCCTCGACAAGAAGCTCGGTCTCTGGAACCGCGTCCTTATCGGCTACTCGCTCTTCATGCTCTGCGCTCTCGCGGTCATTCTTCAAGACGTCTTTGACGCAGACCCGCAAACCGGCGGAGCGATCGTCCTCGTCGCCTTTGGCGTCGTCGGCTTCACCAACTCGCTCACCGAGGCGGCCTTCTACGCACTCTCGGCCCTCTTTCCCGAGGCTGCGTTCACGAACGCGATTCAATTGGGCAACGGCGCGTCCGGCATCATCAACATTACGTTCAACACGCTCATCCAGCTCTGCGTCGGTGGCATCAAGCCCGCGCCGCAAGACACGGCCAACATCCAGAAGATCTCGTTCTACATCTTCTTCAGCGTCTTCATCGTCGTGTGCTTCCTCGCGGTCTTCACCTTCCACAAGCTGCTGCGGATTCCAAGCGTCCACTACCTCATGGAACGCAACGACCTCGAGACTGCCAAGCGCCACGCCAGCCGGGAGACGCTTTTGGAGATGTGGGGCCGTCTCGGCCGTATCACGCGCGTCATCATGCTGCCGCTCGCAAGTCAGTTTATCATTTACGTGTGCTCGCTCACGGCCTTTCCCGGCATTGGCATCTCGTCCGGCAACCAGCTCGCAGCACTGCATGGCGCGTCGTGGGCATCCTGGTACGTCAACGGCGTCCTCCTCTGCTACAACTACGGTGACTTTTTTGGCCGCGTCCTCTCGCCCAAGCTGTACCCGTACTTTTCGCTCGAGTCGTGCTTTACGTGGACGCTCCTTCGCTGGGTACTCTTTGTCGCGCTGCTCATGGGCCTCCCGGGCAACGGCGCCAACCCCCTCTTCTGCATGGGCGACGCGTTCGGGCTCAACGTCTTTTGGCAGCTCTTTATCAACTTTATGCTCGGGCTTTCGACCGGTGTCTTGAGTACGATCACATTCGGTCTTGGCCCGCGCCTCGTGCCCCAAGACGACCGCGAGTCCGCCGGTGCCATCATGTGTCTCGGTCTCTTCCTCGGTATCTCGACAGGCGCCACGATCGGCTGGCGCTTTGGCCAAAACCACTGGCTCGGCGCGTAACCTTGGATGTAGATTGATTGATATATGTTCATGCGCTAATACCCTCCCACAAACGACTATCTATTTACTAGTAGCTTCTTATCTGTGTCTTTGTGCGTCGGAGCTGTGCGTTGGCCATTCCTTACCCTAGCCCTGGATTTCCGGACATTGCACTTTCGGCAGAAAGTGCACTCTCGTATCCGGTCGATCTACGGATACGGTTGCTAGGGCGGCCACACATCCGCATCAACACAGCAGCAGCAGCATGCCCCTGAAGGGAATTCCATCGATCTTGCCGCCGACACTGCTGCACACGTTGGCCTCGATGGGCCACGGCGACGAGCTCCTCATCGCCGACGCCAACTTTCCCGCGTCGTCCCAAGGCCGCGACGTCATCCACATGCAGGGCTCATCGGCCACGGATGTGCTCGCCGCCGTCCTCTCGCTCCTCCCGCTCGACTCGTTTGCGCAGTACCAAGCGACAGTCATGAAGCAAGTCACGGCGCCGGACGAGGATGCGCCGATCGTTCACGAGTTTGCGTCGCTCTTGACAGCTGCGTACCGAGCCGACGGCGCGCGCACCGCTGCCCACGTCGAGCGCGTGGATCGTTTCGCCTTTTACGAGCGCGCCAAGGCGACGTACGCGATCATCGCGACGGGCGAGGTGCGGTTGTATGGCAACATCATTATCAAGAAGGGCGTCATCGACGGTGACGGCAAGGTCGTCATCCTCTCCAACTAAACTCGAGCAAAAACAGACCAGACTACATGCATGATGTAGTATCACACACGACAGTCGCTTTACTTGCAGCCTTCGCCACCAGCAAGAACGAGGCATGCCGTCGACGGAAACACTGAGAGGAGGTTGGTGACGATGCCAAAGAGAAGGCAGAGCGCCGCCATCGAGAGCGTCACGTTGGCCATGCCGCGGTGCGTGCCGCCATGCGCGCGGAGGTGCTGCGCGGCCGCCTTCTGGCTCGGCAAAAGCAATAGCGTGCCGAGACTGAGCAGCTTCATGGCGTACATGATACCAAACGTGCACGCAACGCGGTCACGGACCGCCGGCGTGTCCGTGATGACTTGGTCTTGAAAGACGTTGAAGGGGGCGTCGACGACCTTGGAGAGCGCGATGGCAAAGGGCTCGGCGAGGTTGCCGACCGTCGTGAGGAGGCCATAGGTCGCGCCTTCGTGGCCCGCATCCGCGACCTCGACAATGACAAAACTCGTGACGATGGACCGGACGCCGTCGGGGAGGTGGGCGAGGGCCGGTCCGCCGAGGAAGAACCATTCGCTCCGAATGATGCCGTAGATGGTGAGGTAGCTCACGCTGCCATCGATGAGCACGACAAAAAGAGACGTGACCAAGATGAGCAGTCGCCAGTCGTGCTGCAGAAAGTAGAGCTTCGTGAGCAGCATGCCGGCCGCGAGAAGCCAACACGAGAGAATGCAAAAGAGCGCTTCGTTGATCGGCCGGACTTTGGCCCACTCGGACTGCACGACCGCGCCCGGCGTCGCTTCAAAGCTAAAGAAGAACGTGTTGAGAAACTGAAAGATCATGATTTGCCACAGCGCGCGCTGGTGACAGAGCAGATAGAGCTGGTGGCACTTGGTGGCCAGCGACGGCATGCCCACCGGAATCGTATCGGGGACGCAGCCTGCGAGCGGAAGCACGGCCAGCACCACCAGCGCATAGCCACCCATGAGTGCGTTGAACGAGATGCTCCAGTCAAAGTTGCCGCCGTACGCTGCTCCGTTGAGCGTGAGGCCGACGACGCCGCTCGCAACGCTGGCGCAGAGCCACCTACGCGCCCATGTGACTACTAGTAGTAGGCGACATCTTAATCGTACTTGGTGATGTACGACAGCGTTTGCGTGTGGCCGCGGACGTCCATGCGCTCGGCGCGCGCGAGCTCGACCATGACAGCGTCGCACGCCACGTCCACCATGACGTACCCGACGGTGGCGCCCATGAGGAGAAGGAGGTACGTGACGCCGGCAAAGGGTGCGTCCGGGTTCTGGATCCGGCGAAGCGACGCGTTGGCGACGGTGCGGATCTGACCGTCGGCGTAGTACGGCGTCTCGGGCGGCAGGAGCGCCATCGCCAGAAGAAAGCCAAAGCAGAGAAGCCAGCCAAGGTAGATGTACGGGCGGCGCCGGTAGCCGCAAATCGGCGCCGAGTCGCTGAGGACACCGACGACGATCTTGAAGCTCCACGCAATGCCAATGAGCGTCTTGGCCGCGCTAACTTGGTACCCGTCCATGTTGAGGTACATGCGAAAGTACGGGTAAATGCAACGCGGAAACGTGCCCATGAGCAGCCCGACGACCGCGTAGTTGGCGACGAGCCCAATGTGGCGCCAATGCAAGAGGATCGGGACACCGTCGGCGTACGCATCGTCGTCGTCATCGTCGGGCTTGGCGAGGAGCCCTTCGTGGTCCTCCAACATCGATGGCAGCGTCGGTGGAGCGACGACCAAGCAGGAAATGTTCCGTGGCGTTTCAAGGATGAACCTTCCTCGAGCAATGGACGTGATGATTCACCTGACGAGATGGCGCGATGCGCATGCCCAGCCAACGATTCTATACACTGCCTGCCTACTCCTACGGGGTAACCTCTCGCCGCCATCTCTGGTGTCAGAGACGTTGCTGGCGTGGCAGTGCAGCGACGCGAGATCCTCCAGCAGCTTCGAGCATGCACGAAAGAAAGATGGATACATAGTCAAAAGGAGCGCAAACAGTCTTATGAATCTTACTTACTGGCCCGGCGGCGGACGCATCATCGGGGGCGGACCCGGCGGGCGCATACCCGGTGGCATCATGCCAGGCGGGGGCACCATGCCCGGCGGGGGCACCATGCCAGGGGGAAGCATGCCCGGGGGCATCATAGGCGGGCGGACGCCCGGCGGCGGCCCACGGGGGAGGCCACCAGGCCACGCCCATGGGAGCGCCACGGCCGTACGCTTGCGGCTGGGCA